CTGGTTTCTCCCAAGGTTTTTTCTCCATTCTGTCACCGATGGAGTTTTGGTTCCTTGCCGCTGTCGCCTCTGGCTTGCTTAGTTGGGGACACTTCATTTCCAGCGATATCGTTGACTTGATTGCAAATGATTGCAAAGATACTATTTAAACTGAACTGAGCTGGATGATGACATCACTGAATTCAATGATGAACTGTCTTTAACTGAAAAATTTGTGTTTACTATTGTCACTTTGCATTATTGACACTATTTTCCTAATTAATGCTGTTCAGTTGCTTTGACAATCTGTATTGTTAAAAAAAAGCGCTATATAAATAAAGGTGACTTAAATTACCTTTTAAGTTACGTTTTGAATCTGGATAGATTTCACACTAAAATAGGTAATTTTGCACTACGGTAATAAGAAACTCGTGCAAATCACCATTATAGCAATATAATACAAACTTAGGAGGGTAGGCTTTATTTGACTGTATGGAAAGTAAAGTATATATTTTTTTATTTATATTTGAATTATGTGGTGAAATGCACCTTGGAGTGATTGACATGAATGGCCTGACTACACACCTCTATGATCTTCTCACGGTTCTTGGTCGGGTTCATGGGAGGTTCTGTGAGGAGGATCTTGCAGTTGCGCGAGTTGATATTGAGCTTCTCCGGACCGAAGGTGTAATCCCATAAGTGCTTCATGTCATCCCAGTTCCTGACGATGCCGTTCTCCATGGGATAGTTGACCTCCAGCATTGAGCGCAGCTCACTCGCTTCGTCTCCCACCATCAGATCCTGAGCAATCACAGGTCACAGGTTAGAAAAACCACCTCACCTCATAGCTATGATGACGAAACCCGAGGTCAGTATCCACCAAAAATATTTCAATGTGGCAGCCCAGCATCAGCATTTCCACAACAGATGCACGGCACCGGGAATCTCTCGTCCCAGATTTGCCACAGCCCATCCACATTCTGTGCGGAGTTACAGTATGAGGCACAAGGAAGCCTCATGTTACGTTTCATGGAGAGCTTCAGCACAGTAAACACGGCCGCTGGGGTGAGATGAGCGAACGGACAGATGCTGCGCTCGTTCACTAGAACCAGCATGCATCCATGCACAACGTGTTAGTCCTTTTCATTCACAGGCTTCTCTGCTCACAGTTTTAGCATTGACTTTAAGACCCATTTACAATAAAGACCGTAATTACAGCGTCACCATTTTTCTCAGTAAATATATTTCTAAAGGTGCTGTTGACATGAAATGTTCACCAGATGTCAGTAACGACCCAAGTAATCCATACATACAAAGAAAACAAAACAAGTAAGTTCAGAAATTAAGTTCTTTGTAATAAAATGGAATGACCCAGGGAAAAAGTATTGAACATGCTTACTGAAATTTATTTAATACTTTGTACAAAAGCCTTTGTTGGTAATGACAGCTTCAAGACGCCTCCTGTACGGATTAGAAATATATTTACTGAGAAAAATGGTGAAGCGCTCAATACGTATTTTACCCACTGTATATCGATAATTATAAAGTTTTAATAATCATTCTAATTACATGAGAATAGGGATATCCATATTGCAACTATATCAATAGCGACACAGAAGAACAATATAATTCGAATAACTTTTTTTTCCAGTTGATGAACCATAAAAAAATTAAGAGCCAATCAGAATCCACCTATGTTTAAAGAGCTCATGCATTTAAAGCAGCAGACAACAAAACTGCAGAGTATTTTTGAATGAACACGTTTACAGATAACAAATTGGGGCAAAAGTTGTGTAGTGTATTTCAGCCTTTAGTTTATTCTTTGGTAACAGTTATGCTATTGCTAATACCTCTAATAACTAACTAGCAAGGCCCTGAATGAAGGACCGGATGTTAATTGTACAGATTATCACGGTGTGCACAAGTACCATGTGTTCTTTGGCATGGTTACAGGATGTGTTTGGTAGTGCCATGTGTTTTCAATGGAGGCCTGCTGTCCTTCGATTTCTGTTCTTCAATCTGTCTGACTGACTTCCTAAACATTTTGTTTATCTGAGAAGGGAAATGCAGGCTTCTCAAAAAGAGTTTTGAAAGGAACTCTGTGTGTGAAACAATATCTTGTGAACGCCAAAGCATCAGAATCTATTTAGGATTTCTTCTAGTTCCTCAAACATGATAGAAGCCAGAGGACATTCAACAGACAGACACAAAGTGCAGAGACATCAACATTTCCCTGCATCTTAAGGCCAAGGCATCATCACAGTATGGAAAGGGGCGTAACATTTCCGTCACACGCTTGAGGTATTCGGCCAATCACAACGCACTGGATAGCTGGCCAATCAGAGCACACCTCGCTTTTCAGACCGATGAGCTTTGTAAAAATCGATGCGTTTCAGAAAGGCAGGGCATAGAGGAGAAACAATAATGTACAGTATGTGGAAAATAATGTGTTTTTTGAACCTTAAACCGCATAAACACATTTCATTACACCAAATAATGTTCTTTTTTAGCAACATCATATGACCCCTTTAAGAAAAATAAACCGCATGAGCTGAATAGATTGATTCTGTCCAAATTAACTCAAACTGTCAGTTTTAGTGAACCAATTCAAAATGTTTTGTTCATCCATGGAATTTTATATATTAAAATTCTTTAATAAAAATATATCTAAGTAAATCTTGCTGTGTGTTTGTTATTGTATAGTATTGTATGATGCATAAATAAATAAATAAATACATAAATCAATCTCCTTGAAATAAATAAATAAATATCCTACTAAATATTCACCTTGATTATTTTTAATTGCATTAATGTTGTATTTGACTTATTTTATTAAACATTTTGATCTGCTACAAAAGATGTTTGGTTAAAATGATGGCTCGTGTTACCGGAGAGAGAGAGAGAAAAAAAAGACATTTTAAGCCATTTTTTGAGCAAATGCATAAATAGAATTGTATGTCTATATTGAATATTGTGTATACTGTATATTATATTGTTTTGTCTATATCACCCAGCCCTGGCTATAGGGAATGAGATACTCCACAAAATAAAAGAAATCAAATCATGAACACCTTTGAAATACTGCATGGTGCAACACACGCAACACTCAGCAAGGCGATCAGTGTTAAACAAAACACACGGCAGGCTGCACTTACCATTTTTTTGTTATTCTACTTCATGTGAAGAACAAGGAAAGAGTGTAAGTATAAAAAAGTTCAAACAGGAGAGAATGAAGGCTTACTTTAAAACAACTAAGCTAAATATGTTTCACAAATGAACTTTGATAACCCATCAATAGACTGAGTAGTATTCAGAAAAGGCCACAACAAACTCCAAATGGATCATCTGAGCGGCCAGAAAGTCGAGGTTGAGTGCGGAGCTCACCTTAATCTCAATGTTGCCCACTTTAGCTGTGGAGCGGATGATGGGCCTGCCCACCAGTGCTGGGAAGATGTGCTCTGGGAAGTTGGATCCGGCATAGCCACACTTGACAAACTAAATGATTGAGAGGGAGAGAGAGAGAAAAGTAATGTGTAAAGTAATACTGTGTTCTTTAAACAGGAGAGCCAACAAGACAACAAAACGAAATTTAATTTTTGACTCCATGTTGATAATTGGCCATTGTTATGGTTCGCTGGTGCAGAGGTTATGATGTATTTATTAATAGGGTTCCCACACCTTTTGATAAAATGAATTTCTTTGACTTTTACAAGTGTTTATGATTACCAGATAAAAGTATCAATTAGATTGCACTCACAAATAGCAGTTTCTAGTATATTAAATATTAATATATTAATATATTAAATTTGATAGATGAGCATAATTAGAAAAAAATCTTATTTGGGGGGAGGGGAACTTTTCAATAACCCTGTAAGATTTAGTTAATTAACATGACTTTTCAATGCCTGGAAATCACCATTTTAACATTTCCTCATATTTACAAGTTTTGAATAAGAATGCGATAATACACAGACGGGTTAGGCTATAAAGATATAAAATAATCAAATACAGAAGTTAGCATCACCCTGGTTTCCTTATAATAGATTTTTATTCGATTTTTCACAGATTTAAGTATAAATAACCTCCAACAAAGGTTTATTATTCTTACATATTTTGTGCACAGATCATAATTTTTCAAGGCTGATTATGATTGACGATTTGTTTTTAACAAGCAATTGGGCTGATTCTAATATACGATTGCCATTGTTTAAGCAAATTTATTTGTTGATTATTTGCTCTTTTAAGGTCGAACTGGCCTTAAACAATAAAATATCTGTAGCCACTTAAATTAGAGGTAACCACTGCATTTTAATCACAATCCAAACAAAGACGCTGCACATATTTAGCATGAGCGTCTATTCTCTCCTGCTTCACCTGTGTCCAGTGTCCGGCCCCTGTTATTGTCCTGTTTACAGATTCCATAATATTTCCACACGAATGGCATTTTAGTAAATGATTACAATGCCGTTTGTGTGCAAGTTCGGAACAAAAAAACGTCCAGCTCCTATTATTTGCCGGTCAACCAGTGCATCTGTATTGTTCCTCATGATAATCTTCACGAATGAACACAACTTTTATTAAGTCTAAATGCAATTGGCAGATGTAAAAAAACTCAAATCATAGGCTAAAAGGAAATATACGATGGTCGCATGACTTCAGTATCCCCACCGCCACAAAGTTTCTGACAACTCTTTATTTCCAATCTAAACGGTGGAAAGTTTGAGGTAGACCGCAAGAGCATGAGTATAAACACAATACGCTTGTAAAGCAAAATAATGAGTCGATGAGTTTTCTTGCTCGGCGTGATGAAGTTTAATGTCACCAACAGCCTCTGTAGTCCCATTTAGCAACTTGTTAGCAACTGCCTATTTTAAGACACTTATAAGTTTAAGTGTGGTAAAAAAAAATAATAATAATAAAATAAAAATAACAAATAAGTGGGGTACTACTGATTAATTTTATGCTGTAGTATAAAATGTGAAAATATCTTGGGCTTGTGTTAACCACAGACCTTATTTCAGGCCTACAAGGAGTTTCCGTCTTTTAGGTCTCATTTCTGTGGCATTCTATAGTTCATTTAGTGGTCTGCAAATTTTTATAAATGTGTTTTTAATTAGTTTCTTGACTTAATTCAGGCTCACCAGACTTGCAACAACAAATCAATGTGAATGTAATGAAGCGATTGATCTGTTAAACTACTTCTAAACAACTGACTTATTGAGAACATACTATATTGTTTAAGATGTTTAACACTAATTCTCCATCCAAAGCTAGAGCCGTAGCCAAGCAAAATATTCAGAACAGACTGGTTTCATCCTTCACTGACAGCTTGCTCTATGAATCAATCATCCCCAACAAATACTCGTTTGCATTAAACTCAATCAATTGTTTCTCATATCACTCAGCATATTCCAAAAATGGTCTGAAGGCTTTCGGGCTCATTTATTGGTCATCCGACAAGTAGAGACGCTTTCTCTGTGCAAGCTGTGGTTTTAACAGGTGACATCACTTCCTTCTGAGCCTGACCCAAGGCTCTCTGCTTCATTGGCTGTCCTGACCTAAACAATGCTGCTATTTACTAAAAACACACTAATATTCCTGAACCACAATTATTTCCAGATTCCAGAGTTAAATACCTGCCCAGGTCACCCACTAGCCAAACATGACGTCAGGACACAAGACCACGCCCCCAAATCCCAGGGCAAATTATATCAGGCATCAATTCGATTATGCATAATGACTTACTCTTATCATCTACAAAGATAGATCTTCGCCAACATTAGTGAAACTCGATTTACACACCTTCCCACCGAAGTAACACCACCCGGTGCTTGCAATATGCAAAGCGTTATCAAAGCAAGTGGATGATTTCATAACAGGCAGCATTCATAGATTAACTGTAACCATAGCGACGCAAAATTCATTTTAATAGTCTATTTTGGTAGCTGACTGACTGGAGCAAGCTAAGACCCTGCTAGCTGCAGAACTTGCAACTCGGTGTATGCTCATGCAACCGACCCATAAATGAAATATTTACTTGTGCCACTGTATTTATATTATCATATAGCGATATATCAGGATAATATAACCACATCAAGCCACATTTAGCAGGAACTGTGCATGCTGTTAGCGTCTAATGCAGTCTGTGGAATAAGTAAACGCTGATTTTTAAACAGGATAAATATAGAACATAAATCACTTTAGAGTCGGGCAACACAGAGATCTCAGTAGAGAAGAATATGAGTGCAGAGTAAATGCAGCTGTCAGACATTCCTTACAAGCTGCGCTAAGCTTTCGTGACTTCCTGTTAGGGGTCTGTCTGCCTCACCAGAAATAAATGTCAGGTGTTAGAGTTGCGGACGTACCCCTGTTCCGTTATCACAAACCACCACCTTTCTTCCTTGGCTGTCCATCTTTCAAAGCCCCGGAGCCGTCAAACGCAGCCCAACTTTCTGAACAAAGTGCTTCAAGCACTCAGCAGCAGCAGGTTTCACTTCCCGTTCCAGACAGAGACGCTCGCGAAAACGGATCAGCCTGTTTTTTCACAAGCCCCGCCTCCTGCGTTCGGATTGGCTGATAAGACTTCCATGCGGTCTGCGATTGGACAGTTAGGGAGTCATTCATAGAGACTTCACTGCAGTAAACACATTTCCCTTAATCTGTCAATTACTTTCTATAATATTTTGTCATTAATCAACAGTTTCAATAATTTGTAACTTCTAATCTATAGGTACAGTAGAAAAATACAAAAAAAATTCAAAATATTTGTGAATTTCTTGAATTGGTCATCTTTATTTGACCCTCTAACTCTGTCACTCCCTATTCTAATTCTATTTGATCTATTTGTTTTACTCTTTAAGACTCTATTTGTTTTATGCTTGTTTTCTTTTAAAAAAGCCTCTAACACTAGCTTTCTCTATTCTTTTTCTATTCTTTGTTTTCTTTTTATTTATTATATAATAAACAAAAAACTATGTGCTTTCTAACTGCTTGTTTTCTTTACAAAATGCTTCTAACACTAACTTTCTCTCTATTATTTTTCTATTCTATCTATTTCTTTATTCCAAAAATGGTCTGAAGGCTTTCGGGCTCATTTATTGGTCATCCGACAAGTAGAGACGCTTTCTCTGTGCAAGCTGTGGTTTTAACAGGTGACATCACTTCCTTCTGAGCCTGACCCAAGGCTCTCTGCTTCATTGGCTGTCCTGACCTAAACAATGCTGCTATTTACTAAAAACACACTAATATTCCTGAACCACAATTATTTCCAGATTCCAGAGTTAAATACCTGCCCAGGTCACCCACTAGCCAAACATGACGTCAGGACACAAGACCACGCCCCCAAATCCCAGGGCAAATTATATCAGGCATCAATTCGATTATGCATAATGACTTACTCTTATCATCTACAAAGATAGATCTTCGCCAACATTAGTGAAACTCGATTTACACACCTTCCCACCGAAGTAACACCACCCGGTGCTTGCAATATGCAAAGCGTTATCAAAGCAAGTGGATGATTTCATAACAGGCAGCATTCATAGATTAACTGTAACCATAGCGACGCAAAATTCATTTTAATAGTCTATTTTGGTAGCTGACTGACTGGAGCAAGCTAAGACCCTGCTAGCTGCAGAACTTGCAACTCGGTGTATGCTCATGCAACCGACCCATAAATGAAATATTTACTTGTGCCACTGTATTTATATTATCATATAGCGATATATCAGGATAATATAACCACATCAAGCCACATTTAGCAGGAACTGTGCATGCTGTTAGCGTCTAATGCAGTCTGTGGAATAAGTAAACGCTGATTTTTAAACAGGATAAATATAGAACATAAATCACTTTAGAGTCGGGCAACACAGAGATCTCAGTAGAGAAGAATATGAGTGCAGAGTAAATGCAGCTGTCAGACATTCCTTACAAGCTGCGCTAAGCTTTCGTGACTTCCTGTTAGGGGTCTGTCTGCCTCACCAGAAATAAATGTCAGGTGTTAGAGTTGCGGACGTACCCCTGTTCCGTTATCACAAACCACCACCTTTCTTCCTTGGCTGTCCATCTTTCAAAGCCCCGGAGCCGTCAAACGCAGCCCAACTTTCTGAACAAAGTGCTTCAAGCACTCAGCAGCAGCAGGTTTCACTTCCCGTTCCAGACAGAGACGCTCGCGAAAACGGATCAGCCTGTTTTTTCACAAGCCCCGCCTCCTGCGTTCGGATTGGCTGATAAGACTTCCATGCGGTCTGCGATTGGACAGTTAGGGAGTCATTCATAGAGACTTCACTGCAGTAAACACATTTCCCTTAATCTGTCAATTACTTTCTATAATATTTTGTCATTAATCAACAGTTTCAATAATTTGTAACTTCTAATCTATAGGTACAGTAGAAAAATACAAAAAAAATTCAAAATATTTGTGAATTTCTTGAATTGGTCATCTTTATTTGACCCTCTAACTCTGTCACTCCCTATTCTAATTCTATTTGATCTATTTGTTTTACTCTTTAAGACTCTATTTGTTTTATGCTTGTTTTCTTTTAAAAAAGCCTCTAACACTAGCTTTCTCTATTCTTTTTCTATTCTTTGTTTTCTTTTTATTTATTATATAATAAACAAAAAACTATGTGCTTTCTAACTGCTTGTTTTCTTTACAAAATGCTTCTAACACTAACTTTCTCTCTATTATTTTTCTATTCTATCTATTTCTTT